TCCTTCTGAGGTTGGCCTGGATCTCAGCCACCTACTTGGCCTTTCCATGTAGCAGAATTTGACCTCACCCAGCCTCTGAGATCGCTACTCCCCGCACCCCGTCAATGGCACCCCTCTGCTCAGTCACATGCCTGAGCCTGAGCAGCTTCTCCTTCCATCCCCGCAAAGCAGACCTCAGATACTCCCCTCCCACCTCCACCTGCATCCCTCTCACACTCCCAGTGGACATGTTCCATGGCCCCTCCTCCGCTTGCTGCCACCTTGCCACTTTCTGATGAGGACACTTTGATGACTTCCCACTGGGTTATTAAAAAAAATACCCCCACATGAAGCCCTGGTCCAGCCCCAGGGACCCCTCCCGCCCCACCATCCCCTTCCCTCCACGCCATGTTGCTGGCTGTAGTTGCTCAAGCGCCCACTTCTGCACTGTCTCAGTTCTGTTTCCAGATCCAACGCAGGATGCACACTCACTCTTCACAGGGCTCTTTGTGAAGTTGCCCCCGCAGATAACCCCCAGCAGCCATGTGGTTCACATCGGCCATCAGCCTCTTTGCACTTCACCTTGCTTCCTCCTTTCCCAACACCATCACAACCGGTAGCCCTCTGACTTGGGTGCCCCTATGTAAGGGCTTTCTTCCCCAGTTGTCTGTAGACCATGGTGTACCGTGCCTGTGTGTGCCCCCAGCGCCTTTGAGGCACGGGTACCTAACCTGTGTTCTTTCCAAGGGGTGACTTGCTCCCAAGTGTCTGGTTTCAAGGCCTCAGGGTGGTGCCCACAGTTTGCACGGGACTACTAACCTCACGCTGGCAGTTGAAACCCACCCTGCGGCACTGAGGAAGAAAAGTCTGGCACTCTGCTTCCACGGAGGTCACAGCCTTGAAGAAAGCCCTGTGGAGCAGCTCTGTTCCCACCCCTGGGGCCGCCGTGCACCAGCGTGGACTCACAGTGCCAGGTGGGTGCTATGGTTTCAGGGCCTCAACCGTCTCCTGACCTTTGCTCCCCTTGTCTGCCCTCCAGGTGTTGGATGTGCTGGACTTGTGCGTGGTGGTTCTGCAGTCCCACAAGAACCAGCTCCTCCCCTTGGCTCATCGGGCCTGGCCCTCGCTGGTGCACCGACTCACAAATGATGACCCCCTGGCTGTGCTCAGAGCCTTCAAGGTACCAACTGGGGCCCTATCACCCGGTATGCATGACCAAGGAGGGTGGTGGACATGGAGCGCAACAGCTTCTTAGGGGCCTGGCTCCTTTTCGTCTGACTGCAGTAGGCCTGGGACAATATGGAAAGCACCCCAAAGAGCATCCCAGTCCATCCGTCCCCTTTGGCTTTGGGGCAGAGCGAACTGGTAGATGGGAAGGGGCACTGATGCTTCCTGGGCATACTTAGTACCAGGGGGCTTATCTCCTCAGTGCACACTCACAAGGTGGCTTCCACGACCTCTGTTTGGAGCTGAGCTGCTGTGTTAGGCCGGATTGACTAGAGAAGCAAATCCAGTGATGCTTACGTATGTGTAAGAGAGACTTTTATATCAAGCAGTAATTGGGTATCAGGAAAATAGCCCAGCACAGTCCATAGATCCCTCTTCAGCCTTACACAGCCACATACAATGATGCAGAATGCAGGAGGATCACAGGCCACTGGGTGCAAAGTCTTGTGGATCCAATGGCACTGGAAACATCACAGAGCTCTGGCAGGTTCCAGTGTGGCTCATGAACAGGAAGGTGAAGGCAAAAAGAGAAGGGAGGTTCCCAGGCCCCTCCTTAAGAGAAAGGTCATGCCCACATGAAAACACCTTCAGGCTGTGGCCTGATTGACAGGCTAGACTCCACCCTTACACTTTTATATCTTCAAGTTGACAGGAAATTATGTAACTACCTCAGGTGGGAACAAGCTCAGAGAAGTTACGGACATTTCTTTTTTTTTTTTGCCTTCCTTATGTATTTATTTTTAATCGTTTTATTAGGGGCTCATACAACTCTTATCACAATCCATCCATACATCAATTGTTTAAAGCACATTTGTACATTCATTGCCCTCGTCATTCTCAAAACATTCCCTCTCCACTTAAGCCCCTGCCATTAGGTCCTCATTTTTCCCCTTCCTCCCTGCTCCCCCCTCCCTCATGAGCCCTTGATAATTTATAAGTTATTATTTTGTCATATCTTGCCCTGTCCGACGTCTCCCTTCACCCACTTTTCTGTTGTCTGTCCCCCAGGGACAA